TAAAGACAAGCTGGAATCTCCTTTCAGTCATAGTTTCAGAGTTTCAGGCTGTAATTCCTGATTTCTCATCTGTGTTTATGGAGCGCTCAGACCCAGCAGAGTCCCCAGTGCTCCCAGTAAACCTGACTGGGAGGCACCTTTTCACAGCCATCGCAGTCATTGAGAGTCTGCCAGTTGGTCTTTGGCCTGTTCTTCCCACACTGAGCCTCAAAGCAGTTTGTCTCTGAGGCTCCTGGAAACCACTGACTGGCTCCCAGTTGCTCCCTGGAAACCAGCACAAACCCTCAGCTGGTTTCACTGGTGCTGCCCGACAACTTCTCAGTGGAGTCCAGCAATTCCAGCAGCATATTTGGGTCTGAAGTCAGAGTTGCCAGAGTTCAGCTGGATGTGACTGAGAAGCTTGGACTCATTTCAGCTGCTGTCAGACGCCAACAGGCTCATGAACCATCACTGACTGTGGAGCAAAGCAGAGGCTGTTAACACCTGGTTCTGGTTCTACAGTACCTTTATCTAATGATCAGAGTTCCTCCAGAACCTCCTCAGAACATCTGGTTCTGTATCTGCAGCACCTTCATCTACTGACCAGAGTTCTACCTTCAGACTGTGAATGTTCCAGAGGTCCAGGTCCTTCAAGTCCACAGAGGAGGGTCCAGATTGATCACTTTAATGGACTTTTTCCATCATTTCTGAGCCTCAGAACTTCATCAGTACAGCAGTGGTGGGATCAGACAGTGTCAGGTCCATGGTACTGGTTGATCTGATCAGCTGAGCAGTAAAGAGGTCCGGTCTCTTTCTCCACAGTGATTTCTCCAGCTGCGCTCCGACTGGGAGTTGTGGGAGTCCGTCCAGCTCAGTACTGGTCTTTGTTCCCAGTAAAGTGCTGGTGGCCACATGTGGGACGAGTTAGAGCCGTAATGAGTCCAGCAGAGGACTCGGCCGGTCCGTCAGAACCGGCAGTCACACAGCAGATGTTCTGAACAATAGGAGCTTTAAAGGTTTGAAGCAGCGCTGTAGTCAGTCAGAGCCTCTTCCTGTGTTGTTCCGTGTATCCTTGTGTTGTGTTGTGTTTGTCTGTGGGACAGTTTTGTCTCCCGTCTTTAGCTTTTTCTCTGGTTTCCAGTTTTCTGATGGCCCAGTGGTGATGCTTTTTGCCACAGTAGTGATGAGGACTCACTGGGAGGAAACACAGTCTGTTGTGGTGAATGTCCAGTGGTGCAGACGCCTCATGTTGTGTTCCTGTCTGGTTAATGACACACCAGCTGGTGCTGCCTTCATGGCCCCAGAGAACGGGCCGGTAACATTATCCTAAATCCGCCAGCAGAGGGGGACAGAGAGGAGGGGGCGGGGCCACAGGGTGTGACTGATGTGTGGTGGGCGGGGTTTCAGTGTGAATGACTGGCGGCTGGTGGGCGGAGTTTCAGTGTGAGAGTCTGAGAGTTGCAGCAGAGTCAGAGCTGAAGGGACGAGAGACTGAACATGGTCCGACTCTG